TTTTTTATTTCTGTTGGCGTTATTGATGATGTACGTTGCTTGTGTATTTGGCCTGGTCTATTTCAATTGGAGGACCAGGCACTGAAAATGTTTGTTTTATATTTGATTAATTAGGTTATAATTTAATATTTCCAAGATAAAAGGTTTGGACTGGATATTTGGTAAAAAGTAAGTATTTAAGTCAATAGATAGTGGGCTGTGAATTTCCAAAGTAGAATTATCATTCAGTTACTATGTTGCAAATCATTCTTGTAAGAAGGAAGCAATAAAACATTCATGGAGCTTGAGGCCCAAAGAACATGTCTTGATGAAGTGCAGCAGTAAGAAAGCTATATTCAGAGTGACGTGTAAAGGTGGATTATACAACAGTTCAGTTATCAGTCTACATCATTCACTACCGAGTGATTGCTTATAGCCGAAGGATGAAGCTAACTATATCTATGTCAAAAACTAACACGTCCGACTTTGTTTACCAACACAACTGCAGCCTAACAACTGCAGTTAACCACTAATTCCATCTAACTTCAAATATATATCTCCTCTAGATTTATTTGTTTTGAAGGTAATGGAGGAGGACAAGGGAAGGGAAAGGAAAGAAGTGGAAAATTTCCAAGTTATATACTGGACAAGCATAGAGGAGAGGAAGAGAAATTCTTCAATAAGGGTACAACGCGTTACTTTGTGGAGTATGTTAGCTTTCAACCATTCCCGTCATAACTAACTCTTCCCCTCCCCTCCCCTCCACCTTAAAAAAGGAATGAAGAATTTTTAAGTTCTTTATAATGGGTACTATTAAAGCGGCCAAAAAGGAACTGGGAAACATAAGTGATTGGTATGGACGACTTGGCTTAAATTAGTTGTTTTATTATTTTATAACTGCTAAAAAATCCAATTAAAATCTGAGTCAAAGTCAACTATTAATTTCAATTACATATTTTATAGGATGAGGATCCACAACTTTTCAACCACACATTTCATCAACTTTTATCAAAATCTGCTACAAATCAAATTTTAATCTCTACCAAATAGGGCGTAATGTCTTTAGACAGGGGGTTGCTTAGTCGTTTTCTTTAAAACCAAGGTCTAGTTTCCTTGTGGATTAGGGTTTTTCCTTTTTAATTTATTTAATAAACTTATTAAACTTTGGGAAATGGCATTCTTCAATAGTTGTACCATGTGTTAGTTTGCGTAACATGTTAGCTTCCCACCATTCCCCACAATAACTGATTCTTCTCTTTCCCTTAAAAAGAATGAAGAATTTTCAAGTTCTATCATGCGGAAAGCAGGAAAATGGTTTAACATTTATATTATATGGTATTTCATGTAATATATTATTTTCCCTAATTAATGCCTCACTTACGTTGCTAAACAAACCTTAAATGCATAGCGTATCAAATCTTCCGCCATTTAAAGTGCATTTGTCCTCAAGTGCAGCAACACGGGAATCCACTATAGAAACATGTTTTATGTTCTCAAAAGGTTTCATCTATAATAATCATAATTTTAGCACATATAAAAGGGAATGACTTATGAAGAACTAAGTTAGCTGCATACAAAATTTTGAACCATTGCTCTGGACATCATGACCAAAGTTTGCCTGCAATAGTGTTTTTTTTTTCCATCTTCTATTGGAGACCTTTAGGATCCTAACTAAGTTTCTTCTTGTCACCTTCATGATAAAGCTTATCTTTTTCCCTTTCAATTATTCTGACTGTAGAAACTTCAATAGACATTGCCATATCACAGTCCTTTTTTAACTGCAATTTGAGCTCTAGGCAGTTTAGGAGCTTAACATCAAATGTTGTTCTTTATTATACAGAATGATGAAGTCATTTAGAGCAATTAATCTTTACATTTTTTCCATTTACATACCCAACATGTTGACCAAACTTGACTTTCCTGTCGTCCTGTAATTCCAATATAAAATATCATGTGCTATGTGGCATTGAGAAACAAGGGGAGAGGTTGGAAGGGGTTGTTTTTTGGTTTAACAGAGTAATTTAATTTTCCTTTGTGTTACAACAAAGACACATGAATTTCTGTTGCTTTAATTTTTTTTCGTTTGGGTCTAGGTTAATTTTTTGGCTCTTCCATACATATTTTTCATCTAGTGTTCATTGTGAATTTTTCATTTCCTTTTTCAATTCAGTTGAATATGATAGAACAAGATGAGTATTGTTGCTTTATTGGGAACCTGTCATGGTCAACTTCAGACAGGGATTTAAAAGACATCTTGTGGAGGCAAAGGTAATCGGCAAAGACAACTGACTTATTCTTGTTGGTTTTTGTGAATTGAGGCTATTATTTGACATCAGTATGGTACTAATTTATTTATCCGTATATTTGATGCTTTGATTGGCCACTACAAGTTTATTAGAAAGAAGGCTTAGCTTCTTGTTGTTGTGGTGGTTGTGTTTGACACTTTTTTTGGTGATTAGTCTCAGGCTTTCAGCTATAGAAGTTCTTTGCTGGTCTGTAATTTATTTTATGCCATTTCTTTAGTGCAAATTAAGAACATTTCCTTACATACATGTGTAGTTGGATCTAAACTTCATCGAGCAGGTTTTGTTGTCGATTAGAAGATCTTGGTCTTCATTACATATTTGAATATTTCGGAAATGAAAACTTGTTCATAATTGCAAAGATAAGACATTATGTTGATGGTTTGTTTGAGCCCTATTTTTTTAGGAAATTAAATTTTGCAATAGTGATTTTTTGGAGAATGTGGTTACAAAGTATATAAAAGTTCTGAATTTACATAAAATTATTTTATTAGAAAAATTTGTTATTGAAAATGAGTTTGGAGAAAAATGAGTTTTTAAAGAATGGGCTCAAACAGGAACCAAGTAAGTTACTAATAAATTTACTAATTCAAAAAGGTACTTCAGTTTCTAAGATATTGAACCTTTCTTCTCTTGTTACTGGATGTGGCAGATGAGATGTATCTGTTTTCCTTGCTCATGGCAGAGATTAAGTATACTGATGAAATTTGCACAAGTGATTGGAAGTGCACAGAGAGTAGGAGTGATGGTTTGCTGTTTCCCTACACATGGATTATGATGAAGACTGTCATTCTTGCTTCCTATTATGGTCATATTGCTTGGTTATTGAGTTTATAAACCTTACGTATCTGCTTTATCAGGTTGTAATGGATAGATTTTCTTGCCGCTCTCGTGGTTTTGGATTTGTTTCCTTTGATGACAAGAAAGCTATGGAAGAAGCTATTGAAGCAATGAATGGAATGGATCTTGATGGACGGTCAATTACAGTGGATAGAGCTCAGCCAAACCAGGGATCTGGTAGAGATCGGGAGGGGGACCGGGATAGGAGCCGTGACCGTGATAGGGAGAGAACTCGTGACCACAGGGGTGGGCGTGGATCTGGTGGAGACTGCTTCAAATGTCGTAAGCCAGGGCATTAATGTCTCTCTGGAGAAGGGCAAAGAGGAGGTGGTAGATATGGTGGCAGGGATGACAAATATGGAGGTGGTGGCCAGTATGGTCCTGATCGTAATGGTGGTCGGAGCTGGGACTCTGACAGTCGTGGAGGATCGGGAAATGATAAGTATAACCGCTATCGGTCAGGACCATATGAGCTGCCTTCATCAGGTTGATGGGATTTTTGCCATAATCTAGGTATGTGATCTCCAAGTTTTGACTAAACTGCATAGCAATTCCTCTTCTTTTACTTGCGTAACGGTACTTCCATTTGTTTCAGCTGAATTAATGAGAAAATGCCAAGAGTGTTGGAGTTGGATGTGGAGTCTACAAAATCAGCTTCCTTCTTTTTTCTATATCACTTTTCTTCTGAAACACTTGATTTGACGTGTGCAACTTATTTTCGTATCTTTATTCTTGAAGTGCACGCTGGATGCTTTTACTTTTGTAATGTTGCTTGCTATCTTTATTGGATCAACAAATTATTTTTTGCATTTTGATTACTCTAATGGTTTGTCAAGGGGTAAAGAAATTAGGTATAGCTTGCAAATTTCGTAATGAAGTTGACTACTCATGAGCAGTGGAAGTTAAAACGACTACATACAAATTCTTATTCACAATAAATTATTGCGACGCCTATCAAAATATATCATAAAAAATCGGAGAATTTGAACAAACCAAAAAAAATTTACTATAGTCTCGATTTGAAATATTCTGAGTTGGTTGGGTTTGAATTTCTTTTGTCATAATTGGTTAAAATCTTTTTGTATTTTCTCAACCGGCCATATCAGTTGTTACAGTCAAAGGTTCCAATTTGATTCAAAGATGAGATGCCGGGCCAGCTCAAATATTTGGACTTTGGAATTTACTAAGTATAGAGGGAGGACTCTTTCAAAGGAAACGATTTTTGACCAATTAAAACATAATTTAAGTCCAACTCTAACTTGTCTAGTGATTACATATTTTCTTATTAGGATTGATATGTCGAATTGGATAAATATGTTTAAAATAATATTTTTTATTTAATCATGTATAATATTACTGTCTGGTCTAATGTCAAACGTTTTTTTATATCTGACAACTTTAGAGTCTAACGTAAAAACAATAACAGTTTATGTAAGATATCAAAGTAGGTTATTTTTGCAGGCAATGCTACATGTACATAATTTTTTTTACCTACAGGCTGTCTGTTAAAAATTCTTTTCAGATTTTCATCAATTTTTGGAATGTTATGCGGGGCCCAACATCTTACAGGAAGTCCACAATGACGTCTTCAACGATTGGATTTGTGATTAAAATCGGAAAAATTGTTTTACCAGACAGGGTCCTAATCTTTTACATACACCCACAATAGGGCGTGTGGACCACATTTTTGAGAGTTTTTATTTTTATGCGGGCCCTGCGCACATGTGAGAAGATGTAATATTTTCGATAAAGAAAATTATGTACAAATAGTTTTATTCTATTTTTGCACAGCATAGCAAAATGCCATGGGAAATTCCAATCACAAGCCTATTAATGTTAAAATTCAATTTAAACTGGTAACAAGTCAAATTTGTAAACATTTAAAAAGCACAAAAATCGAAAAAAAAAGAAGAACTTCTATAATAATTGTTGCATTAAAAAATGCTAATTTTCATATGTATGTGTCTCTTTCATGTCAAAACGTGTATTCCCTTTTGATTTACAAGTCTTTGGCCTGCCTAACCTAACCATGACTCTAAAATACTGAAAAATAATTTAGAAATTTGTTTGTTAGTTCAATAAGGCATAATGTGAGTGGTCCTAGTCTCATAACTAGCCAAGCAAGATTTTGAATTCTTCGCCCTCAAAACTTTGACCAATTCCCTGCACATCTGTCTTGTACTCACCGAGCAATCACTCTGCATTACCAGTAGTACTTTAGTCAACCCATTGACTTTCATCACCTTCTCCTGAGCCGTTCGATCACGAGCCAAGCAACATAAGCTCCAGATCACCGTAATACTGTGCTCCGTCGCTACGCTGGAGCATTTCATCAGCCTCTTTACAATCTCCACCACACATTTCTCGTCTTCACTAATCGCCTCCCTCCCTTCCGTAGACGTGGCAACCACTTCCACTAATCCTAGAGATTTCTCAATGACCGGACGAACCGTACTTGAAAAGTCAAAAATGGAGAGGATTTCCCCTACTATTTTTACTATTCCGAACCGGATTAACTCCTTCCGAACCAGCCTGGATGTTGAAATAGCTAATAAAGCAGATAAACCGGCTTGGATTGCAAGCCGGTCGTTTTTTACGGCGATTAATGTGTACAGTTCGTACAGTATCCCTTCCTTTTCTGCAATCTTACGTTCAGACTCTGAATTAAATGCGATTGACTCCAAAATCCTCGCCGATTTAATCTTCGATGTCAGGCTACCTTCCCTTAGCACCAAAAGAAACGACGATAAACAATCCACATCGCTCTTCAAAATCAAGCTATTAAATTTCTCTTTCGCTCTATTTTCCAATAAAATCAAATCCAGAATTTCAACAATCAGTTCACAAATCTCAATTTTTTTACAATTTCCGAAAAGCTCAAAAAAAGTAGAAACTGCATCGTCAGAAAATTCTATAAACTTCAAATTATCCTCCGAAACCTTCATAAAATCAATAATTCTCGCTAGAGAATCGCAGTTTAATGCGCCACTGATGACTTCCCTGACTTGTTGTTTGGAGAACGACGTCGGCAGCGGCAGTGGCGGCGCGTGGGCTGGGTCGGGGTGTGAGAGCCAGAGGTGGATGAGGCGGCGAAGGGTGAGATTTGGGGTGGTGTGGGTGGAGAGGAGGGTTTGCATGGTGGCGGGACAGGTAGTGTGTCCTAGAGATAGCCACTTTTCGATGGAGCTGCGATCGTATGTGACGCCGGTGCATAGACTCACCGGAGATTTCATCACGTCCATTGAAATCGGGCACCGGAACAAAGTCGGCACGGTAACGCACAGATTTTCCCCTCTCTTTTCTCTCATCATTTTCTTTGCCAAGTCTCCTTTCTTTCTCCTCTGTTTTTTATCTGAGAGGAATCGGGGGTTTTAAAAGGAGGAGCGAAAGGTAGAGTGAGGAAGTGACGTCGTTTCGTTTCTTACTAATTGGGAAAATTGCATTATAGGTCCCAACTTACTATTCGAGTAACAAGTTGATCTTAACTTTCTGAAAATAAGCAAGTCCATTCTCTTTTTTCATTATAATATAATTGAACAATAAATCTGTAATTAGAAAATTATTCAAATATTCACTTATTGCCTGTTTGAGCCCCCTTTTTTTTCGTTTATAAGAATGCATTTTGGAATAGTAGATTGATGGAGAATATGTGATTAAAAAATTAAGGAAAAATTTTGAAATTGCGTGAAATATTATTTTTTAAAATGGAATAATTTGTAAACCCAGTCTCGCCGTACTTTAAAATGGTCAATTTTAGGTTAAGAGTTATTTTTTGAGTCAACTAACGATCATTTGAATGAAAATCGTTCAAGAATTTTGGAATTGAGATGCCAAAAAAAAAAATTGGAACCTAACGGTACTTTACACTTTTTTTGGGGATATCAAACACTTGTTAATATAAGTACATTTATTTGTTAGACGAGTCTAGATCATGAAAAGAAATACTTTGTGGATAAAATTAAATAAAAGAGAAAATTGTAATCATAAATAAATGTTTGAGATTTATTTGCACTTCTCGGGAAGGTTAGAGACCTAAGCAGAAATTTCACTTGAATAAAAACCCCATATGTAGGGTGTTAAATGTGTATTTTCTATAGAAAGGGGAGCCAAATAACAAAATAATCTTGTCATCAGCTCGAGCTGCGTGACTCACTCCGGCTCGCGCAATCGCATAAATAGTCCACTCTTTCTCGACCATCACAGTGAAAAGAATGTGTAATAAACTTTCCCAACCTGTTTAAAATTTGTGTTACAATATTGTACAATTGCCTATACGTGTGTAATAAAATTAATCAATAATAATTTTTTTTGAAAAAAAATCTCGTTTTTCGGATTGCGAGATAAAAAAAAGAAAAAGAAATTTTTGAAAGGTCTTCTACGTTCTCACCCCTCAAAAATTGTCACAAAGCATATTTTTTCATTTCCTCTTCGACCTTCGATCATTTTCGAAATATTTCTCTGAGCCAATTGCTTGAGCCGTGGGATGTCAATTATTGAAGGTTTATTATGGTCAAATTTCTCCGTGTGATCTAAAATATTATGAATATTTAAGTGTGTAATTTTAGTCTCAAACTTTTGCACCAATAAATTATATTATATTCGGAGATGACGCAAATAGTCGCAAACCTTTGTCACTCTCCATTAAACAAATCATGGCCTTCAAAGCATAGACAATTTCAATTTGAACAAAGTGAACGCATTAATTGTTAGTTTTTGAAGTTTCAAAATAAATTATAGATAATTGACAAACATCGATTTATATTTACATTAAATTAATAATACTAAAATTAAAAAAATTATTTTTATAATATTTTGTCGATTGTTGGAGTATTTATTTATTTTATTTTGACATCTGATTTCACTCTTGACCTTTTTCATTTTTCGGAGTCCTAAACGATTTTTAAAACATCAATTGTAATAACTTTATTTCCAATTTTGAGCCACTAGTTTTGGCATTGAGTTCCACAATTACACGATTATGCAATTACTATAAAAAAAAAAAAAATGAGGCTAATTGATTTTTTGTTGACAGTTGGGGGATAAGTTGTTATTATATGCCCCTGTTTGTCTATCATTATTCCAAAAAGTTGTTTGCTACAGTAAGATTCTCTACTACACATTCACCCAATAAAATATTTTACACACAAATTAATAAAATTATTTTAAATTTCAACCACACATTCTCTAAAAAATACTATTCATTACTCTATTGGCGCGCCAACCCCCCACAAGAAGGAAAAACAAATAAATAAACAAATAAAATAAAATTGAAAGACAAAGTTTGATTTTAGCACCCTTTTGGTATGAATTAAAATTTAGATTTTACTTTAAGTTAAAATCAATATTTAATTTTAACCACATATTTTATAAGTTTCACAGTTTTTAAACCACATATTTTATCAAAATCTATTAAAAATATTATTTTTAATCTTGACGACTTAATTGGTAGTTTAATTATGCAAGAAATGGGTTTGGAAGTTTGACTTCGGATACTGGTGGGACCCATGGGTTGAATGATTGGAGGAATTGGAAGATATGAGTATCCATTTCTTGCACGGATTCTAGCTGGCGAAGTCAAACTTGATTTGCACGAAGGATCGTTTGGTAGGATCTAAAAGAGGTACACGGAAAAGTTATTTTAAATCATTTTTTCATTAAAAATTTATTTAATTAGACAAAGTACTTTTAAAAAATTATTAAAATATGTTTAAAAGTAATTTTTTTGTGTTAAAAATAATTTTTTAATTTTTCAAAAGTCCGATCGAACATGACCTAAAACAACAATACGGTTCATCCTTTATGATTCAAAATTTGAATTCTACTACTCGTCAGTTCAACTATTTGAAAGCCCGTTGACATGTCATTAAAGCAATTCAATGTGCATTTACTATTTCTGTAAATTGATTTTATGAATTTTGATACCCACCAAGAATTATAGGACGTTTTTAGGCGTATTTTCACGCGACTCATTTAAAGTAGAAACTAAGTAGCATTTCTACTATATTTAAAGTTGATTATATGTGAATCCATTTTCGTTATTCTAAGTCCAAAGCTACACCTAATGGAAAATTTAATACAATTAAAATCATTTCCATGCTCGTGAACTTTTTTCTAAGCGACTATTCTTCATACATTCACACTAAAAACCTAATCCAAGAAAGTGGCCATTAGTCAAAAAGTTGCTACATGTTTTCTCATTTATACTAAAAACTTTTTTCAACCATTAATGTAGACCATTGATGGCATGTGTTCTTGCGCGACGTGACAAAGACGGGCTATTGACAACCTTTAATAGTTTTCAAAGCAAGCACTATATATTTTCGTGCCGTGTGATTTTGTCTTCCTATAATATACTAATGAAAATTGTGCACTGATTCAATTTTACTTTTGAATATTAAATTGGTCTCGATCAAGTTTCAATTATTATAATTGCACAATCAATCTCCACTCTTCAATAATGAAAAACTATTCAATTTTTTTTATTAAAATTGTCGATGACCTTCACGGAAAAAGGCCGTGCTTCAAATTTCTAGACATCTACTTGAGTCGGAAAAATCTATCCGCAAGTAGTCGGACATGTAAAGGTCGCGCAAAAGCTCAATAGAGATTAAAATTGATATTTTGCTCCTATTAAAAGGATTTAAGGACCAAAATAATGTCTAGTCAAATTTGGATAGTTTTTGTTGCAAATGTGTCAAAACTTGTGACTTGTGACAATGGGAAAAGGAAAAAGAAACTAACAGTGATTGATGCGTGTAGAACTAAGTTGATCTGAATATGACTTGTCTATACATATCTACATGTTATAGATTATGTTTGAATTAGTCCATAGTTGTAGTATGCACGGACCGTCTTAATAATTAGTGTGCGAAGGTCGTGTGTAAAATGGACTGGCCAGTGCAAATTCGATAGCCTTCAATTTGCAAGTCGTATGATTACATGTATTGTAAAATTCTCTATAAATGGACAGTATCGTAGACAAGTAATATAAAATTGATAAGAGTGTTAAAACTTAAAACCCACCAAGGAAAACTTATTATGTCTAGTTATGAACTTTAATTAAAATTAGATCTAATTTGAAATACGCAATTAATGATTTTGAGTTCGGTTTGATTTGAATTGGATCATTCTAACTTTCGACAAAAAAAACAATTGAAAGTAGCTTGTTTGTCTCCCATTATTGGGAGAAAATTAGTGTAATGAATAGTATTTTTTGGAGAATGTGTGGTTGAAAATTAAAGTAATTTTATTAATTTGTGTGTAGAATATTTTATCGAGTGAATGTGTGGTGGAGAATCTTACTGTAGCAAACAATTTTTTGGATTAATAGTAGACAAACAGAGGCTTAGTTGATCTTGAAGTTTAATCAAATCACGAAACACATAATAGGATCTCGAATCTACCATTGTTAACATGCTTTCATCCTCAATTACATGTTATTAACCAATTCTTCTTTAATGTTTACATTCGATATTCTTCGTTCTTTTTGACTCCCATTTTTTAAAAGTTATTTTCAACAACTCATTGCATGAAATTCACAATTTATATCAACTTTTTTAATCATGTATTTCATCGACTTTTATTAAAATCTACTAAAAATTTGATTTTAGCTAAATAAACATGAGCTTTATGTGCTAATTTTCTTTGTCGAGATAAATTAACACAATCTTTATGTAAGACCCAACTATGGATATACTGACGGAGGATGAGACTATATAAAAATACGAGATAAAGCTATAATATCCCAAAAAATGCTCACTTTATAATGTTATTTTAAAANCTCACTTTATAATGTTATTTTAAAATTGAACAACTACGTAATTTCTTAAAATAACAATCATGTTTAGTGTAATTATGTGGAATAATGCCACTGGGCAAAGTGTAAAATTGGCATAATCCTTAATTATTTATAATTATTGATACTGCCTTGCACGGTTGCACCTAGCAACTAACTCTATCAATATAGCACAATAGCTACAGAATGATTGGTCAGCTAAAACTCACTTTCAGCAGCTTAAGCCCCGTTGACTTAAACGCCGTTGACGATCATCACTTCGAAATTCTTTAATTCTCATATTTATTTTTAACCACATTTACAAAATAAAATATTGTACACGTAAATTCAAAATATTTCACTACTTTTTAACCACACATTCTCAAAAAAAAACTATGCAAAACTCTATTTTCCTCAAAATAATGACCATCAAATATGGGCTAAGTTTCTTATCCTTAAATATATGGATTAATGATTAATCTGTTTGTACAAAATTTATGTTCAGACAACTTTATAGGTACTGCGTTGTATGGCTAT